TTTGCTGATGCATGGTGACCTTGATGGTCTTGGGCAGAAGGTCTGGAGCCCCGAGGTCTGTAGTTGGATCATTGGCAAGGTCTGCGAGCTTCTTTGCCATGTCTTGCAGGAACCTATCGTTCATCCCCCTCCTGAAGAAGGCCCCAAGAGTGGGATTTTCTGCGATGTAGGTGCCCATGCTCTTTGCGAATTCCTCGGGCGTCGGCGCTTGGGGTGGTTCCTGTTCCTTGCGGGCTAGGTCCATTTCCTTCAGCCTTTTCTCGATGCTCTCGTCACGTTCCCCCTTGAATCCGAATCTCTTGGACATGCTGTCCTTGAACCTGTTGTCGTACCAGAACACGATGTGTCGCGCGACTTTTATCACTCCGCTCGAAAAGCGCGCTAGAGAAGATCTCTCTATCTCAGGGAACAGCGCCGTATGCAGCGACCTCTTCCCTGTTCGTTTGGCGAGATCTTCGGCGGTCCGCCCGTCATCATTTTTTAAATGGGGATTGGCGCCGGCTTTGACCAGGAGGCGGACGGAATCGAAATCCACCTTGTTCACTGCATACATCAGAGGGGTTAGGTTCCTGGCCAGGGGGCAGGTCTTGTCGAGAGCCTCAGGCTGTTTCGGAGCATATGCCAGCAAGATCTGCACCATGCGCGCCCGCTCGAACGGCGCCTGCCATGTGGCCAGCAGAAGGGGGGTTTCGCCGTTCTTGCAACGCTGACTTGGGTTCGCACCGCGCTCGAGAAGGTCCTCGACTTGTCGTGGGTATCCGGATACAACCGCGGTTGCTAGGGGGGTCCATCCGGTGGTTGGGTCTTGGGAATCAAGGGCGCTGGGATCAGAGCTGATCCATTTGCCGAGTCGTTTGCCGACAAGAATGCCCTTGCGGGCATCCTCAAAGACAGACATTTTGGAGTCGTTGGTTGCAGATCCTTGTGCTGTACCGGTCCTCGGTGGACGCCTGGCTCCCTTTTCATTCCATGCTGAACCAACCCCCTCCTCTCCGTGAGCCATTGTCATCACACCCCAAGGTCACAACTTGTGCCGCTCTGTTGACTCAACGAAGCAAAGTGCTGTCGGGTATCATCCGACGGTATTCCTTGGCTGGGTTGGGTTTATTTTTCTGATATAAAATGCGCTTCTGATTGGTCGCGCCTGAGCCATTCTGTGTACTAGTATTGACGACGTATTGATTGTAAAATTGGATCCAAGGCAACCCAACATCAGCGTTGGGCTTGGATGCCAGGGAGCCCTCATTCCTCGTCCTCGTCGAACCCCAAGTCCCCCAAGTCATTAAACTCCTCAGCCAAGTCAACCGGCTCAGTCGTCTTGCTCCACTTCCCCCACTGCTCGCTCGCCAACTTATCCGTCTGGTTCTCCTCCCCCCAAGCTTCATCCTCGTCGGGATCCTCCGGTCTCCTCACGCCCTGCGTCCAGTTAAAGAACCCCTCGGGATCCCACATCTTCTTGACCTGCCTCAGCTCCTCCTTGTTGTCCCCCCAGTACGCCCTCTCGTGCGTCTTGCCCGGAAAGTCTCGGTCCGGAAAGTTGACAAATGCCGCCTCCGCGTTCAGCGAGAGCGGACGGAGTTTTTGCTTTACGGATGCCAGAAAGTCTCGCATGTCCTCCTCCATCCACTTGTCGACCCACTCAATCGTCACGTACGTGTGGAAGACGGCTTGTCGCCAAAAATACGCTGTTTCATTGGGCACCTTCCTTGACGCCTCGCCGCCCGAGTGGATCCACGTGACGAGGAAGTTGACCTTCTCGCCCTTGAAATCGACCCGGAATTGCGTCATCAGCGTCCGGATGGCTGCTGTGATGTCGGCGAGGGCGCTGGGCGACGAGTTGTCAAAAACAAAGGAGCTGTACAGCTCGTATGTCTTGTTGGTGGGATACGCCCGCTGCGTCTCCTCGAGCCACTGCGAGACCAGGGTCTCGTAGAGGTACCGCGTTGACGGTTCGGGGAGCGCACGACGCTTGAGCTGCCTCTGGAGCTCGGGGTGGGCGACGTAGCGTTTGATGATGTTGTTGTATTCGAACTTTGTGCCGTCGAACGAGATGTTGAAGCGCACACCGCCCGTGTTGGAGTTGTCGCGCAGGTCGCAGATCCACGTCGTGTCGATGGTCATCTTGTTCGGCCAGGGGGTGGCGTAGAAGGTGTTCATGGTCGCGACGAGGTCGTCTGTGATGCCGTCGTTGGGAAACCACTGGTATCGGCCGGCGACAACCATGCCACGTGGGTTCGCGAGCTTCTTGACGCGAAGCTTCATCTGCACGACAATGCCAAAGTTGCCGCCGCCCGCGCCGCGGAGAGCCCAGAAGAGACGGCCCTTCGACGACGATGGCGGGTCGGACTCGCTGACCGTGACCAGACTCCCGTCGGCGGTCACGAGGGTGGCCTCAGCGAGCGTATCGGCGCCCATGCCAAAGCTACGGGTAAAGGGCCCGAGGCCGCCGCCAAGAATGAAGCCGCTGACGCCCACAGTTGGGCACCGTCCGCCGTTGATGATGTAGCGGTCGTGCCCGCCAATGATGAGCTTCTCGTAGACGTCGCCCCACTGGCACCCAGCGTCCATGGTGACCATCGGGTCGACCGGGTTCATGTCCAGCTGGGCAGTCTTCATGCTGCGAAGGTCCAGCGAGATGCCGCTCATGGCGGTTGAGTGGCCGGCGTACGAGTGTCCATTGCCCTTGATGGTGAGCTTGAGGGATCTGGCCTTTGCTTCCCGGACGATGGCTTGCACGTGGGCGACGCTCTGTGGCTGCACGACGCAGTCGGGTCGGCAGAACCTGAACACCAGGTTCGACGTTGCGATGGACTTGCGGTATCTGTCTTCGCCGGGCTTCAGGACGGGGACCTGTTGGGCTTCAAGGGCCCTTATCGCGTCGCCCATTTTTTGTCGCAGCCTCCTGAGGGTCATTGGGTGTTTTCAGGACGCGTAGGATATTGAGCCTCTGTCAAAAGAAGACTGGTTGGAGGCCGGGAGATGTGCACTTTGGTTCAGATGGTTGTGGGGCTGGCCCCTTATATCCTATGCCAAGTCGAAATGAGGCCCAAAGCAAAAGTCCAGACGGCATAATGTCCCTCCGCGATAGGACCTGCCGTGTTGTGGGTTGACTCTGTGTTGAGCTTGACCCTCAGGCGTTGGGTAGACCTGCATGAAGGGGGGGACTGGCACCTCTACACTCCAGCCCTGGTCTTTTTGTTAGCGCGAGACCTCTTGCCAAGGAAGCGATACCTACATGACAAGAGTAGACCCCTTCAGTCCTGAATTCAGGGCCTGGTCGGCAGAGAAATAGGTGTCCCGTTCCATCACTCAGGCCTCTATTGAAACGGGTTCTGCTTGGCTAGTATCTCGCATGCCTCACGCTAACAAACAAACCAGGGCTGGATTGTATCGGCTTGGGCATGCACGGGTTGTGATCGAGTGGTGAGAGGGGTCGCGTCGGTACCTACCTTGAGATTGAAGTCCCCTCTCAGCAAAGGCTTTGGAACGCGTGTCAACCTAGGAGACAGAGGAAGGGCGGCCTTGTGGGGACATGGAATCCCAGCAACGGTGCAGGGCAGCCCGACGAAGCCGACGTGTCTTGGGCAATAGCGGACCGGTATCTGAGCGCATTCTGGTTGCTGAAATCGTCTCCTCGATTCCCCAAAAGCATTGAAAGGGGCGCTCCCAGCCGGTCCTGTGAAACCATTCTGTTAACAACCGGCCCAAGATTGCCAGGAACGACAACCTTTGCACACTCAACCTCTGAATACGTACCTCGGTACACACCTCGACACCATGTCCACAACCACTTCCATGACCATGGAGGCCACCTCCAAGTCCGAGGCACCAGGGCTCATCCTCACAAGCGAGCCACTACGCCTCAGCTTGATCGCCAAGGAGCCCAGTGCCATCACTCAAGTCCCGGCATCCCAACGGGTCGAACCCTCCAACCCATCTTTCGTCCTCGACAAAGATGCCCTCATCATGTTCGCCCAGAAGGGCTACGAGATCTTCGAAGACCCCAAGAAGCTCGACCCCTACCTCGAGAAGCACACACGTAGGCTCCCTCCCTCGACCCCCAATCCACACCACCCCCCACTAACCCCCCCCGCCATGATCCAGGCCCCATCCTATTTACCGCCTTTCTCGTGGCCCTCTACCTCCGCTCCTGGATCGCCATCCTCCCCCTCCCCGGCTTCCGCACCAGCGTCTTCGGCTTCACCCTCTCCCTCTTCGTGCTCTCCTTCCTCGCCACGGCCGGCGGCCCCAACACGCCGGCCCCGCGCCCGCTCGCCATCTTCAACCACTTCAAGGCCGCGGCCGACAAGGCCCACGACCAGTTCCTGAACCGCCTCCTGCCCGACTGGGTCTACTACCGCGCCATCCCGGCGGTGCTGCTGCTGACGCCCACGCGCGCCGCCACCTTCCTCGTGCTGCTCATGCTGTTCGGCTTCGGCCGCAGCCTGGGCAAGCTCGCGTCCGACGCCGACGCGCAGCTGGCCAAGGTCGACGAGGCCATGGCCAAGTCGGCCGAGCACGTGCGCGTCGCGCGCGTCATGGAGATGCAGGCGCTGCAGGTCGGCATCACGCGCCCCGAGGGCGCGGTCGAGGTGGTCCGGGAGGTGAAGGGGCTGGTGGAGGCGGTGGTGCAGCAGGGCGCCAAGCTGGCGGGCGAGGAGGTGGAGGAGCTGAGGAAGGTTGCGGCGGGAGCGAGGCGGGTGGCGCGGGACGAGGGCGACTTGGTGTTTGCCGATGGGATGATGGCGCAGCTGAAGAAGTCGGTGGAGGAGCTGGAACAGACGGAGAAGGAGATGGGCGGCAAGGTGGAGGAGATGAAGCGGAAGCTTTGGGGGTTGGTGCAGCTTGAGTGAGGGGTGGGAGTGAAAGAGGAAGGGGCTTGCCCTCTCAGGCTCTCAGCAAAAGATTCTGGGCTCCGCCTTTGGTTCCAGCCAAAGTGAGTTTGATAGAACTGTCATAGAGACCAATTAGCATCGCATTCAACATCAATCATCACATTCGGGCGTGTGGCTCAGTTGGTAGAGCGTTCGCTTAGCATATTCTAGTATGCGAAAGGTCCTGAGTTCGATTCTTAGCTCGTCCATTATTTTTGGCTCTCCAAACCTTCATTGAGCAATAGATTTGCATCTTTTTTTGTGTCCCCAGCCGAGATAAATACGAGTTCGCATTTGCAATGAGGTACTTTGTTTTGGGAAAGGGTTATTTGTCGTGCTTCATTTCATCCAAGGATGACATGAACTGGCAATAACGTCTCTTGGAAGTTGGAACCTCGCTCGTAAAATCCACCACAGTACCTTCTAAACTCAGCCCGAAACCCAACCTCCACATGTCCTCAAACGCTTCTCGGCCCCCTCGCAATTCACATCAAGTCCTTGAAGCCCTTTGGCCAGCAGCCCCCCGGCACGTCGTTCATGCACAGGAGCTCCAGTGCAAGCCCCTCTTCAGCATCACGCCATTGAAGCCTGTCTATAAACGATCGACGCCCCTCTTCGGACAGCTTCGGATCCAGTTTGAACTGCCAGTACTGGTCGCCATCCACGATGCAAAGGTTCTCAAGGGGGGCGCTTAGAGAGCGAATAACAATCAGGGCCCATTCACGATACCTGCGCCCAATCACGCGCATGACATCTTCCTTGGTAGGAGGCCCTGCCCGTCCCTTTGGGAAGAGCCTGCTCTCCCAGGTGGCCGTGCTGTGGAAAAATGCCGAATCTCTGTTGAGCGGGAACGAGAGGTGGGTGAGAGCCTTTTTTTCGGACCGGAGAAGTGTGAAAAGCGTATGCCTGTTGGAGCTCTAAAGCATTCGTTAGCTACGCGTATCCCTGATCAACAATTGAGCCCCCCACCGGGACTGCGAGACACTAATTTGCACAGGGAACAGACAAGTTCCACTGGCTTGAACTCAGGGTGTGTCCAAGTTGACTTACAAGCTGTTTCCTACTAATACTAACCACTGGACCTTCACCAAAAGCATATTGCTTCCCCGGGTCATCCACGAGAAGCAATGAATCCAGATGTGGAAATGACATCAATATGCAACCAATGGCGAATTGGATATTCATGAAGGGGCTGGTTGGCGTTCCAGAAGGACAGTCGGGAAACACTGGAGTTACAGCGACCTTCCTGAGCAGGGTCGTGGGCCAGAGATCAATGGCTTTGTCGAAGCGGGGCTCCATCAGGGCACTGAACTGGTACATCTTGCTGTCGGTGTGGCTCACTGGCAGTTCGAGGGCGGTGGCGTTTGGTACTTGGTCAAAGATTGCTTGCAGAAGAGCCTGTCTCGTGACATGTACCTCGATGGCGGCCGAGGACTTGATCCGGAGTCTCTGCACAGTGGTCCACTCTCTCTCGGCAGCGCACAGGAGACTGGTGAGGCTCGCCATGTGGCGCGTGTCGAGATGCTCGATGTCAAGACTGAGATGACAAAGATTGGTTGAGAGATCAACGGCCCGCAACATGCTTGCTGAAAGTTCGATGTGCTCGCACCCTCGGTCTTCCGGATCGATGTCGGGCAGGAAAGTCATCGACAAATCCCTGTTCAGTCTCAGTTTTATCCAGGGACGTCTCTTTAGTGAAAGAGCAAGAAGTTAGCCTCACCTGACTTTCTCGCGGTAGTGGGGCTGGCAGCCAAAATGGCCGGTCGGCTTGGAGTTGAAATGTCGTAGTTGTCTGTGGGTGTTGTCCGCGTTGCCTCTGAACCAGACTTCTTCAAACGCCTGGGGAGCGAGCATGAGGTAAAACGTTCGGCAGGTCTTGATCAAGCTGCTGAGTTCCCTCGGACCTAGGATTTTGGAGATCTGAAGCACGATCTCGACTGGCAGGCCCTGAAGAGGGCCGACGGATACCATTTCCGGCTTCGCCTGAAAAAATGAGTTAGAAATTCCAAACAACCGTGATGGACATAGCGGTAGAACTGTACCTTGGATTCTTGTGCCTGGGCTGGCGAAGAGGCAGCCGACATCTTGACTTGGGAGGTCCTCGAGTGTCGACGGTGAAAAGTCGATGAGCCAGGGAGAAATTTCCGGGAGACTCGAGTCAAAATAGATTTGGCATGGTGGCGTTGCCATTGGTTCAGCCCAGGACTGCGGCAGGTGTCTCAGTGCGAGACATGCATGCACTGGCATTTCTTGTTCTACAATCCAATACTGGTTTGTTTGTTAGCGCAAGACATACGAGATGCTACCTATGAGCCAAGGCCATTTACCACTGCCATTCAATATAGGCTTTGGTACTGGAACTGGACACCTATATTTCTGCAGACCAGGCCCTCGAGACGGAACTGAATAGGGACCTATACCTTTTCCACACGTCTCTGAAGTTTAAGCCAGATACCAAGATTTCTTCAGACCGGGTCCTGAAGTCGGAACTGGAGGCGTCTCGTTTTGCATGTGTGCGAGAGGCTCTCTCTCATTCCCTTGGTTGGAAAGGTCTTGCGCTAACAAATAAACCGGGGCTGGATGCTTTTTCTGGTCGATGAGTCGAAGAGAGATTGGAGGATATTTGGCACTGTGTAGTGGGCGGGAAGCAAGAACGAACCCAGCCCGGCCGCCACCGCGAGGGAGGAGGAAGCCGCGGTGTGAAACCCCCACATGGCCCCGTGATGACTCTGTGACTTGAGTCCCTGGCCAAGTGTCCTACAATTTTCCTCCCAGAGAATCAGCCAGTATACCCAGGTAGGTACTTTATGGAAACGGACAAAATCGGCGAGAACATCGGCATAAAAACAGTTGTCCGATAAAAACCATCGGGGCCGTTCGGGTCGACATGTCCGGCTATCTGCGGGGTACGGATTAGTGGACCCGCAAATGACGGCATCTCGTCCGGCCCGAGCATCGGAGCCATGATCCATCGTGCATGATCCCACTCAGTAACCAAATTCCACCATATATCACGGAAACGCGTTTTCAGACCATATTGTGACAGACAGCAACAACAACACCGATACCATGGCACCGATCAAGATCGCAGTCCTCGATGACTACCAGGGCCTCTCCGAGCCCAAGTTCAAGGCCTTGGATCCGGCCAAGTTCGAAGTTGTCTTCATCAAAGACACTCTCAGGCCATACAACCATCCAGACACCACGCAGGATGTCAAGGACCAGCTGGTGTTGAGACTTGAACCTTTCGAGGTCATCGGTAGGCCCCTTCCGCCTCCGGGGCACCACTCTGCTGACCACCTCCATAGCCACCATGAGGGAACGAACCCCTTTCCCGCGAGAGCTCATCGCCAGATTGCCGAACCTGAAACTACTCCTCACCACCGGAAACCGCAACCTCGCCCTCGACCTGGAAGCCTTCAAGGAGCGCGGCATTCCCGTCGTCGGAGCCGTCGACAAGGCACACCCGGGGTCCGTCGGCTCAGTCAGCACCACAGAGCACTGCGTGGCCATGATCCTCGCCGCCGCTCGGAATATCGCTCAGGATGACCACGAGGTGAAGTCGGGAGGCTGGCAGACGGCTTCGGCCGTCAGCCTGTATGGCAAGACGCTCGGCCAGGTTGGTCTCGGCAGGTTGGGAATTGCGGTCGCAAAGATTATGCACGCGGCGTTCGGGATGCGCATCGCAGCGTGGAGTCCCAATCTGACCCAGGAGGCGGCGGACGAAAAGGCAAAGGCGGCTGGGTTTCCGGTCGAGAATGAGCAGGGCGAGAAGACGTTCAAGGTGGTCAGCAAGGAGGAGCTGTTCAAGACGTCCGACGTCATCAGCGTCCACATTGTCTTGTCCGACCGGTCGAGGGGCAGCATCGGGGCCAAGGACCTATCTCTGATGAAGCCGTCAGCGATTTTTGTCAACACGTCTAGGGGGCCGTTGGTTGTCGAAGAAGATCTGCTCAACGCGCTGGAGAAGGGCCAGATCCGGGCCGCGGCGTTGGATGTCTTTGAGCTGGAGCCGCTGCCGCTGGACAGCAGGTGGAGGACGACTCAGTGGGGAACGGATGGGAGAAGCCAGGTCCTGCTGACGCCACACATGGGATACGTCGAGCAGGCGACCCTTGAAGGCTGGTACGAGCAGCAAGTGGAGAATGTTGAGCGGTGGGCAAACGGGGAGCCGCTTGTTCAAAGCCTGTACTAAGTCCGAGTCATAGATGCCAGGTTGGTGCAACGTGGGGCTGTTGGGAGGGAAAATTGATACCTGCCCGAGAGTGGAACAATGCCCATGTTTTCCTTTCTCAAGTTTGGACGGAAATGTTCGCTCATTTGCTGCCATGTAGCCATCGGTGACAATGGCAAGTTTTCTACTTTCCTGGCTCGTTCCCAAACATCTTCTTCACCGTGACCAAATGCTTTTTTTTCTATCAGCAGCACAAACGGCGGTGATTTCCGCCACTTTTATTTCCAACACATCAGCAACATGCAATGAAATAAATAGATGGGAACCGTTTCCTGACCCGAACTCATCTTCTGAACTAGTATAAGCACCCGGGGATACCAGAACCACTGGTCAGTTTCTAGATCCCTGCAACTATCCCACTGCATTTCACAGACAAATCCTGGACTCGATGACCGCAATGATAAGAAGGTTGGCCGGCTGGTGGTGTTCTCTCCGTCGACGAGTCCGCAATAAAAATACTCGTCCCCTCTCACATTCCCCGGCAGCGCCTCCGAAGTTGACACGGAAGACTGTCTCCGAGCCCCGGGCGCAATTTTCAGTACTCGCTCGGGAGCTGATAGATCTCCTTTCCCCAGAAAATGCCTCGAAGCAGAAAGAGAAAGGGAAGGCCGTCTCCCCTCCACATTCAAGTTCCCAAGCACCCCGCCCGTATTTCAGTTACTACGACATTCCGGGTTCGCGTCACAACTTTGATAGTTCCGTGTGCCACATTGCTGAGTCGAATTACTCTAGCGGGGTAGGTCTTCCTCTCCATCATTTCGTTGGTGGCTGGGTGCTTTTGAAACAGAAGTGGCGAACAACTTGCTGACAGTGCCAATAGTACTAAGGACTCGGAATTCTGAAAGCTTCCAGGTTTCATTGCCCCCAGCTCTCCTTCCGGCTCGCGAAATCAGCCTCGCAATTGCGATGCGTCTGCCGGGAATCGAGCCCAGAGACAAGTAGCTGGAGTCAGGGGTTGACATAATGACGACCACT